TGGGAAGGGAGTTCTCTCCATCTGTTGGAATGGCTCTTGGATCCTGATCGTCGGTAAACAGTGGTTAAAAAGGAAACGGTTAGAAACCTTGGACTTGACTTACTGTATTGTGCAATGATGGTCTCAGCATGTCTGGGTCTGACTTTGTCCATCTGCAAATCGCAAACGTCCAAAGCCCCAGCATACACCGGCAAGCATTTCATCAACTGAGAACCAGACCCTGCTTCAATGTACCGTTCTCCTCAGGAAAGCAATGACAGGCAGACCAAGGAGCTGCTGTGGGATCTGCTCCAGACCACCACATGAAAGCCTCAATGGAGGAAACTGTGACAAGGTCAGTCACAAGGGTATTTCAGGTTCTCAGTGCTTCTATAAGCTGCAATTACGGCACGTTATAGTCTAGTAAGGGGGCTGTGGGGGTGCAGTCCTTACAGAGGGGCACTTCTAATCCAAAGGTGGTGTTCCTCGGGTGGTTCAAATCCACCAGCTTCTCCAAGGGAGAGAGATGGGTAATCTCTTTATAGCCTCAGAATTCCAGTGGGGTGTCAGCTGGGAATCAGAATCAACTCAACACCAGTGAGAGAGAGAGCAGTCTATGAGCGTACACGGCATGGTGGAAAAGGCTGAAGAATTGAGAAGACCCAAAATGTGACAGAGACACAAAGTGAGCACGGGGGGAAATGGTGCAGGTACACTTGTTTTACAGCAGCGTTGCTACCAGCCTTGTTTGTAAAACATACAATACCTGAGAAGTGCAGTAAAGTTAGGTGTGCCCATAGTGTACGTTTTAGTTATAGACTGATTCCAACAGACTGGAACAATTGCACCAACTAAGGAATTCCACACTCCTCCCTATTCCTCAAGTGCCTTTCAATGTCAAGTTATATAAACATTCAGTGTTTCAATCTCTGTTGCTTCTGAACTTTCTGTTACAATGGTAAATATGACCATGCTGTCAAGTTGTGATCCGTTGAACTTTTGTGTCATAAAAGGGCCCTTAACAGCAGAAGGACAATCCGTGCATTTTTCTCCTTTGTTCCCACCCACCAGAGTCATGCGGTCAATGGGCCATTGGTTTAGAAAAAGAAAAGTCATTGCACAGTCATCAAAGAAACATCTTCAATTTGTTGGTCCTGAACTTCAGTTGCCCCTGGTAATTCCATTAGAGGTTTACACTAATGTGCTTGTTTTATGTATTGGTTTTATGCTTATTTTTAAATACACATTTACATCACACCAATAAGGCCTGTATTTATGTATTGCAAATGGGAGCTCTGGTGACCTAGTGGGTAGAGTTGCACTGCTAACCCCCTAATGGCTTGATTGCACCAGCTGCAACTCTGAAGAATAACAGTTTTACACCCTCTGAAAAATCCACTGCAGTATCAGGTCAGTTCTGACTCCATGCACAAAACAACACTATTTAACTAATGTAAATGTTATGCATTTATAGCTTATAAATATGTAAGACATGCTATACATCATACAAATTTAAGCCTCAAGCTGCAATACTGAGAGATGTTATGTGAATAATCTTGAATGATTCAAGAAGTATCAAAAGAAGATGGAAGGAAAACCAGAGTCACTGTACCAAAAAGAATTGGCTGATATTGAAAAAATTTTGGAAGTATTACCATGAACGAGAACTAATGGTACTGAAGGAAGCAGGTCAAGCTGCACTGAAGGCATTGGCAAAAAATAAGGTCTCAGGAATTGCTGGAGTACCAAGTGACAAGTTTCAACTAGCAGATGCAGCCCCGGATGTGGTCACCTGTCTCTGGCGGGATATCTGGAAGACAACTACTTGACCAAATGACTGGAAGAGATCTATATTTGTTCTCATTCCCAAGAAAGGTGACCCAAAGGAATGTAGAAATTTATTGAACAATATAATTAATATCTCATGCTAGAAAAATAGTGCTGAAGACATTTAAAAATTACTGGAGCTGTACCTTGACAGAATTTCCAGAAGGTCAGGCTGGATTTAGAAGAGGTGGTGGCCCAATGAATTTTATTGCTGATGTCAGATGGATCCTAGTTGAAAGCAGAGAATACCTGAAGAATGTCTATTTGTGTTTTGACAACGCAAAGGCATTTGTGTGGATCATAACAAAGTATGGCTAACATTGAGAAAAATGGAAATCCCAGAACATCTAAATTATGCTCATATGAAACCTAGACCTAGACCAAGAAGATGTTGTGTGAACAAAGTAAGGGAGCACTGCATGGTTTAAAATCTAGACAGGTATGCGTTAAGGTTGTATCCTTTCTCCATACCTGTTCAGTCTATACATGGAGCAAATCATTGGAGAAAGTGGACTTTATGAAGAAGAATACGGCATCAAGACTGGAGGAAGACTCATCAACAACCTACATTATAGTGATGGCACAACTTTGCTTGCTGAAAAAATGAGGAGGACTTGAAACACTTGCTGTAGAAGATCAAAGACTACAGCTTTAAATATGTATTGCGTCTCAACATCAAAAAGACAAAAATCCTCACGTCTGGACCAATAGCAGCATCGTAATTGATGGAGAAAAGACTTCAACAGTTTCATCTTACTTAGATTCCCAGTCAACACCCTTGGTACTAGCAGTCAGGCGATCAGGAGATGTTTTGCACTGGGAAAATCCACAGTCAGTGACCTCTTCAAATGATGTCAATTTGAAGCAGTGGTGTCAGTTTAAGAGTGAGATGCACCTGATTTGGGCCACTGTCCTTTCAGTCACTTGCTTTGGGTCTGAGAGCTGGATAATGGATAAAAATGACAGAAGAAGAATTGATGCCTTTAAGTGGCGGTGTTGGAGAAGAGTCCTGAAAATCCCATGGACTGCCAAAAGAACAGACATGCCTTGGAAAAGGTGCTCCCAGACTGCTCCTTGGAGGCAAGGATGACAAAGCTTCATCTCACACAGGTTGGGCATGTTGCTAGGAGAAGACTAATCCTTGGAAAGGGACATTATGCTTGGAAAAGTGAAGGGTCAGCACAAGAGAGGAAAACCCTCAACCAGATAGACAGACACAGTGACTGTAGCCATGCGCTCAAGGGTGTCAGAGATGATGAAGATGACACAGGACAGGACAGGGTTCAGACCGATTGTTCATAGGTTTGCTAGGAGTCATACTTGATTCAATGACCCCTAACAACACCACATCTGATACGTGTAACATATTTATAGTGTCTCTGTGAGTTGGAATTGGCTTCCTGTAGGTTTTGAGGGTTTTGTTGTTTATAACATATTTACTATATTAAACCTATTTTAAAAGATTTATTTTTCTTTTCTGTAATGCAGCAGGTTAATCAAATTAATATCTTTCATCACTTTTAGGATCAGGGCTCTCAAAATCACCAGGCCAAAGAAACTCACTAGTAGACTGTGTATTCAAATGAATGTAAAAAGAGCTTGAACTTAGAAATAAAGTTTCATTTTAGTTTGGGCTAAAAAGAGGGCACTCCTTAGGGTTCATTAAGTTTTTAACCTGAAGTTGTCCTACTGAAAAGTAGGATTTCATAACTATACAAAGCGATAATGATCAATATAAGATGATGTTTAAAATGTGTCTTCTTACTGAAGATGAAGATAGTCTCTTTTTTTTTTTAATTTTTAAACATCAGAATGTCTATTTCAGTCTGAGTAAGGAGTCATTCATCACAAGGCTATCATTGGATATGTGACACTGGAAATGACCTCAAAACTAGCAAGAAAACATAGACTTGGAAATGAAAAGCACAGTGTCACTGTAAACAACTAATGTGTCTATAACATGGTACTTCAATATTAAAATTATCACATCTATTAAAAATGTGAATCTGTATATTTGTGAATTCTCACATTGTATCATAAATTCTTAACTTGATGGTCCAGTCAGGGACTAGGAAAGTCAAACAGTGGTCATGAGTCCTTTTCAGTGTGATTTTAAAGTTTAAAGACACTTTGATCCCTGAAAACTGCTTAAAAGATTCCTGGAAACAATTGCAGGAATGCCTACCCACAAAGAGCAGTACCGAGAAGCCCCTTCCTCGGCTCCCTTCAGGAGAAAACCTCCAGTGTCTAAGAGGACCACCCAGTAAGGAAAATGAGGGCAGGAGGCTGGGGGTTAGGCAAAAGGGAAGGGTGGAGACTGGCAAACCAAAGATTATTGCTCAACCAGCTGGGGTCAGCTACAACCTGGTTCAGCTACTGGGCAAAGTGAGTCCAGGTTGACACTGGACCTTCTGGGGATGTGCTTACATTTCTAGTGTTGATACTTATTTTTAAAAAAAAAAACAAACACTTTTTAAAGTTTTTCTCAGGTAAACAAATATACCCAGAGGTTGGAGGTCGACTCTGGACCTCTGGCTGGCCAGTGGGCAGTGATTCATGGTAATCTTAACACACAAGGCATTGTCTGGCCCTGAGCCATCGCCACAACCCTGGGTGCTTGAGTCCAGTGCTGTGTTTGCTGTGTGTCTGGGGCACCACCCGGCCAGGGCCTCCCCTTCCAGCATGATCACAGGGGGTCTTCTGCTGTGTCCTACGAGGTTCACATTGATGCCAGGCCATTCCTTGTAGTATACTTGTACCCCTAGCCTAGGACTTCTGTTCTGGGCAGGGCTGAAGCAGTGTGTGTACCTCTTTCAGGACCGCCTTCCTTGACGACTCACAACATTATGCTATCCCATGACCCTGTTTATGTCCATCTTTGCAGACTGGATGTTTCTGTATGTAAAGTGACAGCCTTCTGGTTTACGTAACAACTCTAAAACCCGACAGTCATAGAGTTGGTTCCAACACACAGTATCCCTTCGTTGGGTTGTTGGGATTGTAAACCTTCCTGGGGGGAACACTGCCCCTCTTTTTCCCCCCATGGGAAGTGGCAGATTCAACCTGTGGGCTCTTGATTAACAGCTTGACACACCACCCTGACTCCTTGTAATGTTTTTCTAATCCTTCGCCTTCGTATATGAGAAAGCGTGAAAATGCGATGCATTGGTTCCTCTCTTGCTGTTCTGTGACAGGGCCTTTCATCGGCTTGTTCATCAACACGTGCGGCTGCCGCTGGACAGCGATCGTGGGCGGCGTGGTGAACGCGCTGGGCTGGGTGCTGAGCGCCTACGCGGCCAGCGTGTCCTATCTCTTCGTTACCTTCGGCGTGGCGGCTGGTGAGTGAGCTGGTTGATGAAAATTTGGTTTTAAATGTTTCTAGGGCATTTTGAAAATGAATTTACAAACCATAAGATGATGTCTGGCCTGATTGTTCTGAACAGGATCTCAATACAAGGTCCTGGATAGAAACTCAAATTCATAATAAAGGCCAGGGTCACTGGTCTGACAGAGAGACTGGTAGACTCCTGAGATCAGGGCCTGTTCACCCTTCAATCCTGTAACAGCCGAAGGAGGGAGAGACATGGAAGGTGAACAAGAACTTAGAACATTCAGCCAGGAGGTACAAGGCAGTGGTGGCCCAGGGACAAAGCTCACCCAGCCGGAAGGGACAGGAAAGAAGGTGAATGGACACAGTCAATACACAAAGAGGAAGAAGAATGTTGCTTTATTGTGAGGACTGCAACCAATCGCACAAAACAAAACATGCATGAATTGTTGAATGGAAAACGAACCTGCTCTGTAATCTTCCACTCAAATCAAACAAAAAGCTAAAAAGGAAAAACATTTAACTTGGGAGCAAAGAAACCCATTGAAACGCTCTATCCATCAGTTTTCTCCACCTTCCTCTTTGCTTGTTGTTGTACCGTCCAGTCAGAACTGACTCGCAGCTAACACCAGTGAGTTTTCAGAGGCAGTAAATCACACAGGAGACTAGACAGTCTCCTTTCTCCCACGGAGCAACTGGTGGATTCGAACTGTGTACCCTTGGGTTGACAGTGCAATTCCTTACCACTAAGCCACCAGAGCTCCTTGCTAGACCAACAAAAAGCCAAACTCAGTGCCATGTCGTTGCTTCCAAGGCAGGGTGACCTTCCACCGGGCAGCTGAGGCTGTGAGTCATGGAGAGAGGAGACTGCCTAAGGTCATGCAACTGAGTGGTTAGAAAAAGGCTCTGGGGAGGGGGTGGAGGGGTGGGCAGGGAGGAAAGTGTGCAACAATGAATGAATGGAAATAAAAAAATAAAAAATATATTGTGATCTAAATAAGAATTTAGCCAGATTTCCTCGTGACAGAAGCTAATTTAGATTATGAAGGTATTTTAAGAAGACTCTTTAATTATTGGAATACATAAAAATTAAAAAAATTCTGAATGGTAACTCTGAACTATTTGAACATTACTTTAAATGGGGTTCATGCAGGGTCCAAAGTTCTAATAGGTGGATTTAAACCATCTACCTTTCTGTTAACAGCCCAACAAATAATACAAAACACCACTAGGATTCCTTCTTCTCCTCACTGCATTACAGCAAACATGTACTTTTGAATACAGGATACTGAATATGTCTTACGTATGGAAACCAGTGTCCCCATTATACCAGGCTTTCCTGAAGAAGTGAAGTTGAATTTCCGATGCCTGGTCCTAAGTACCAGCCCTTTCTCTCTCAAACACAGGAGAGGAGGGTAACATGCAGACCTCAGTGAAGAGAGTAAATGCTAACAAGTGAAGAACATTCTCCCGTTTAAAAGCTGCAGACTGGCTGTGAGTCACAGAATAAAGATCTTCTCCTTCAATCGTGTTCAAATTAATGAAACGGCAACAAAATCCACAAAAGCGTGGGGGCTTGTTATGAAACAAAGCCAGGGCAATTCAAACGTCCTTCCTGGTGAAGGAGGTTGGAATTGGCTGCCAGACAGCCCAGGTTTCCATATCCGTTCTGCAAAATGTGTTCTCGCCTGTAATTTCCTTTGTCAACAGGTAGCGGTCACACAGATAAACAGCACTTACTGTACAGCTGTGTTTCAGGGAGCCTGACCTCGCTTGATTGTTTTCTGATTAAGTGCAGAGCAGTAATCGTCCTAATAAATGCCCAGCTGGAACTCTGACCCTGTTGGAGCGAGGTTTACAGCTGTGTTTTAATAAGGTGCAAACTTGCAGTTGGGAATTATGATGTCATCTTAGGAAAAAAACCTAAAACAACCAAACAAAACCCAAAACCCATCACTCAGTTATATAACTTTAGGTAAGTTACTTCACCTACTAGGCCTCTGTTCCTTAGCCGCACGAGTTGACTAGAACTTAGTGACACTATGAACAGATGTGATCCTGCTCCATTCTGTCTGCAGCAGCTCAAGTCCATTGTCACAGTCCTTGCCTCAGTCCATCTTGTTCAGTATCTTCCCTTTTTCTGACTCTCCACCTTTCCCAAATTGATGCCTGTTTTTTTTACGTACTGGCCCTTCCAGATAACACAGCCAAAGTATGTGAGATGAACCTTCTTTGCCTCTAAGCAGCACCCTGGTTGCACTTCCCCTAACATAACATTATCAGCTCTTTTGACAATTCGTGGAATATTCAATACTCTTTGCTAGGACCATAGTTTAAAGGCATGGATTCCTCGTCTGTCATCCTTATTCATTGTCCAACTTTCAGGTGCATAGAAAGCCATTAAAAATACCATGGCTCCGGTCAGGTGCATCTCAGTTTTTAAACTGATATCCTTGCTCTTCAGCACTTTGAAGAGGTCCTTGACAGCAGATTTCTCCAGTGCAACATGTCTTTTGATTTGACTGCTGCTGCCGTGGGTGCCGAAGAGAAAATGGATCAAGTGAAATTAGATCATTGACAACTTGAATCTTTTTTCCTTTTGTCATGATGTTGCCTACTGGTCCAGTGGGGAGGATTTTTGTTTGTTTGATGTTGATATGTAACCCCTACTGAAGGCTTCAGTCTTGAATCTTCTGTGATAAATGCTTGAAGTCCTCTTCACTTTCTACAAGCAAGGTTGTCTTATCTGTACAGAGCAGGAAAAAAGAAAGCATTTAACCCTGACACACATTTCCCCCCACCCCCCACCCCAGGTTTCTTTTCTTTTTTTAAATTGATATTTTAGGCGAGCTCTGGTGGCCTAGTGGCAAGAAGTTGCACTGCAATCCCAGAGGTGTGTGGTTCAAATCCACTAGATGCTTTGCTGGAGAAGGAGGAACAATTTCCTCCTGTACCAGTCAGATCTGATTTGACGGTACACACACACACAAATAATAAAATTTTAAAAAATAAATAAATTGATATTTTAACTAATGTTTACAGAAAACTTGGATTTCTATTCATTCATTGCACATTTTCCTCCCTATGCCTCACCCAGGTCACTTTTCTCTTTAAAAAGATTCTTTCATTGTTGCACAGTTTCTTCCCTCCCCCCGCCCCCCAGTCCACTTTGCTATGCACCTCTTATTCTTGACCATTATCATGCAAATAATATCTAATTATATATTTCTTCTATATAGTTCTTTCCTTCATCTGTTTCAATGAAGTGTTCATTATTTATCCCAATTATTTATTCCATTAGTTTCCCCCCAAACCTCATGTCAGTCTTGTTTTGTAACAATGGCATTATTCAATATTTGTTCTTTTATGTCTGAGATATTTAATTCAGTATAATGTCCTCCAGAGTCACCCATTTTGAATAATATTTTATGAGTTCCTTGTTTTTCAGTGCTGCGTAGTATTCCATGGACACACACCTTTCTTGATTTTTTAAACCATGCGGTGTTTCCTTGTTCTATTCCAACAACTTGCTTCTTTGTCTAGGTGTGGGTTTTGCCTGAGTGTTCAGGGATTCCCATTCTTCTCAATGTTATCCATAATTTGTTATCATCTCTGAAAAAGGACATCATAACTCATAAAGTGGAGTCAGTAAAAAAGGAGGAAGACCCTTAAGGAACCACATATCTGTGCGGACTCTACCTTCCTCCAAATTACTGCTGTGTCCAGTCTTGTAGCCCCTGGTCAATTCATCTGGTTGAGGGTTGTCTTCTTCACGGACCCTCTGCTCTATCAGTACCTCTGTGATATCCTCCTACAGGGACTGGTGCCTTCTGATAACATGTCCAGAGACGTGAGGAGAAGTCTCGCCATCCTTGCTTCTTTTTTTTTTTCTATAATTATATTTTATTAATTTTCATAAACATTTACAGAGATTATGGGCTTCCATTCATTCATTGTTGCACTATTCTCTCTACCCTCCTCCCAGTTTGTTCTTGTCCAAATGCCACAGTGCTTGTCAAAGCCAGTTCTGATTAATCTTCTTTGTCAGTGTGTCCTTTGCCATTCCCTATCACTCCTCCCTGAGAGAGACTTCACCCTGAGTCATAAGGAAAAGGGGATGGCGTATTCTCTTAGCTACTTCCTGCTGAAAAGGGACGCTGTGGGTTTCAGGGTGAAGATCTTCTCTCACTACTCTAAAGGGCCCCTTTGGCAGTAGGAAACACATAGACTATATGGAGATTGATTTTGGAATTTAGATGCACTCTTGTTGATTGTGCTTGGCTGTACATGTTCATATCCTTCAAGATGTATCATGGGGGTGTTGCAACCTAGAAGACACAAATTTGACTAACAAGTTATAAGTACATGAGTCCAAAAATTATGGAAAAGTAAAAGAAAAGATTCTTTCATTGTTTTACAAACCCTCCCCCAGGTCCCCTCCACCATGTAGCCCTCGCTCTAGTCTCCTGTGATGACAGAGATACCCAGTTATATCTCTCTTTTAAACGGTTCTCTCCCTCCTCTGCTTCAGTGCAGTATACATTATTGAACCCATCTTACTCAGTCTCTCCCCAACCCCAAGGACAGTCCCATTCTACAACAGTGGCATCATGTAATATTTGTCCTTTTGTGACTGGGATATTTCACTCAGCATAATGTTCTCCAGAGTCAACCATTTTGAATAATATTGCATGAGTTCCTTGTTTTTTAATGCAGCATAGTATTCCATTGTGCGAATATACCACAGCTTCTCTAGCCATTCATTTGTTGATGGGCACTTAGGTTGTTTCCAACTCCTTGCTATTGTGAACAAAGCTGCAATAAACATGGGTGTGCATATATCTGCTTGGATGTCAGCTATGGTCTCTTCAGGGTATATTCCCAGTAGTGGAATTGCTGGGTCAAATGGTATCTCTATTTGCAACTTTTTGAGAAAGCGCCATACTGCTTTCCACAGGGGTTGCACCATTTTACACTCCCACCAACAGTGAATCAGGGTTCCAGTTTCTCCACAACCTCGCCAGCATTTGTTGCTTGCTGTTCTGTTAAATTTTGCTATTTTGACTGGGGTGAAATGATATCTCATAGTTGTTTTAATTTGCATCTCTCTTAGGGCTAGGGATTTTGAGCATTTCTTCATGTGTTTGTTAGCCATCTGAATGTCGTCTTCGGTGAAGTGCCTGTTCATATCCTGTGCCCATTTTTCTACTGGATTATTTACCTTTATCTTGTTGTGGCCATCCTTGCTTCTAAGGAGTATTCTGGAAGCACTTCTTCCAAAACAAATCTGATCCTTTTTCTGGCAGTCTGTGGTCCAGTCAGTACCGCTGGCCAACACCGCAACTCAAGGGCATCGATTCTGCCATCTTCCTTCTTCACTGTGCAGCTTTCCACTGCATATGAGGCAGCTGAAGACACCATGACTCCAGCCAGGCGTACCCTAGTCTTTAAGGTGGCACCTTTGCTCTTTTAACCCTTTAAATAGACTTTTCACAGCACATTTGGCAGTGGAGCCCCCATTTAATACGAGACAAAAGCTAAATGCAAAGATCTGCAGCAAAAAGCAAGTATAGATAGATAGATAGATAGATAGATAGATAGATAGATAGATCACTGAACAACTTATATTTGCAAATACCTTTTCTAACGTTTACATTTGTCTATGTTGTTGTTGTTGTTAAGTGCCATCAAGTCGCAGGTAACTCATAGCAAACCTATGAACAAGGTCCTGGACACTTCCTGTATAACTTTTGTCCTTTCTCCATTTGTCTATATCCTTTATAAATGGGAATCCCAGAACACTTAATTGTGCCCATGCAAAACCTATACTTAGACCAGGAAGCAGATATCAGAACAGAGCAGGGAAACACTGCATGATTCAAAATTGGGAAAGGAGTGTGTCAGGGATGCATCCTGTCTCCATACCTTTTCAATCTGTATGCAGAACAGATCATTTGGGAGGCTGGAGTTTATGAGGAGGAATGTGGCATCAGGATTGGAGGAAGACTCACCAACAACCTGCGTTATACAGATAACACAACCCTGCTTACTGAAACTGAGGAGGACCTGAAGCACTTGCTGCAGAAGGTCAAGGACTGCAGCTTTCAATATGGATTGAAGCTCAACAGCAAAAAACCAAAGATTCTCACCACTGGACCAATTGGCAGCAACATAGTAGATGGAGAAAAGATTGAGATCGTTCATCATTTCAGCTTACTTGGTTTCATGATCAGCACTCTTGGCACTAACAGTCAGGAAAACAAAAGATGAATTGGATTAGGAAAATCTGTTCTCAGGGACCTTCTCAGAGTGCTGAAGAGCAAAAATTTCAGTCTAGAGACTGAGGTGTGTCAGATTCGGGCCATGGTCTTTGCAATTACTTGTCACCCATCAGAGAGTTGGACTATGACTGAGGATGATAGAAGAAAAATCAGTGACTTTGAGATATGGTGCTGAGGAAGAGTACTGAACATACTATGGACTGCCAAGAGAATAAACAGGTCTGTCCTAAAGAGAGTTAAACCAAGTTTCTCCTGGGGGGCAAGGATTTTGAAGCTCTGCCTGACTTAATTTGGGGACGTTGCCAGGAGGGACTAGTCCTTACAGAAGGATACCATGCTTGAAAGGGTTGAGGAGAGCACAGGAGAGGAAGACCTTGGATGAGACTGTTTGACACAGTAATTAGGTGTGTCAGAGACAGTGAGACTGGCTAAGGATAGGGTAGGGTTCGGGGCTATTGTACACAGAATTGCTATGAGGCGCAGGAGACTTGAGGGCACAACAATAATAAAAACATGTCCTTTATTTTAAGAAGTGATAGAATCAAAGCGTGTGGGGAAATATTCCTCAATTAAGCACAAGATGAGTACCTGCTTGTTGTGTAGATGACCTTCTGTGGTGAAGGCAGTCTGAGAAATTTCTGAGCTCCATCCTCATGAACTGGTTCCTCAAGACCTCTCCCCTGACCACACTGGCCTAGGACTTCCAGGTGGAGGCCTCAACTCCCAAGCATTTAGTGTTCCCCTTATTTTCTCTTTTTCTAATGAGTTTGGATTTTTTGGAGGGAGGTTCCTTTCTTTTTTAATCTTTAAAAGCCTTTTTAATTATGAAAGTTTAGCAATTTTATTGGGTTTGTTACACACTCATTCCTAGAAATTTTTAGAACATTCATTACAATTGACTAATGTAATTAATTTATTACAACGCCTTCTCAAATCTGGTTAGGGACTGGTGACTTTGTGATAAGGAGCGCTGCACTGTCAAACCCAAAGGCATTCAGTTCAAATCCACCAGCTGCATGTAGGTGGTGCACAGTCTCCTTCCATATGATTTGCAGTCTCTGAAAACCAGCTGGAGGGTCACGTGTGAATCTCTCTCACTGGAGGCGAATAGAGGAACTGTACTGAAGTGTGGCGCTCTCTCTTTTTTTTGCTTCATTTTTTTAATTAATTTTAATGAAAGTTTACAGAGACTTAGGGTTTCCAGTCCTTCATTGTTGCACTTTTCTTCCTACTCACCCCCAATTCACTCTTTTCCTTGAAAAGAAAAACTCTTTCATTGTTATGCAATCCCTCCCCTCAAGTCCACTCCACTGTGCAGCCTTCACTCTGGACTTCTGTAATGACAAGAATACCCATTCATATATCCCTTTTAAACAGTTTTCTCCTTCAACTGTTTCAATGCAATATACATCATTTCTCCCCTCCTTTTCTGTCTTCCCTCATCCTCGATGTCAGTCTACTTTTACAACACTGGCCTTGTGCAATATTTGTCTTTTTGTGACTTTGCTATATAACCCAGCATAATGTCCTCCAGAGCCATCCATGTCCCTAACTGTTCTGTTGCTTCGTCCTCTCCTCACCTGCAGGCTTTGGCAGCGGCATGGCCTACCTCCCCGCGGTCGTCATGGTGAGCAGGTATTTCCAGAAGCGCCGCGCGCTGGCTCAGGGCCTCAGCACCACGGGGACCGGGTTCGGGACCTTCCTGATGACTGTGCTGCTCAAGTACCTGTGCGCCGAGTACGGCTGGCGCAACGCCATGTTCATCCAGGGCGCCGTGTCCTTGAACCTGTGCGTGTGCGGGGCGCTCCTGAGGCCGCTGGCCGCCGTGGAGGACAGGCCCGGCTCCGCAGAGCAGGATGCGGCGGTCCTGGCGGCGCCCTCAGCCGAGTCTGTAAAGCCGGACGGGCTCGGGGGCGCGGACAGGGGTGGCGGGCCCGCCGAGGAGCCGTGCGCCCTGCCGGCCGCGGAGCGCAGGGACCCGGGGCGGTGCCGGCGGGACGCGTGCGCCCTGCGCGCACTCAAGGCCATGGGCCGCCTCACCAGGAGCGCCAGGCGCGGCTTCCGGGACTGGTACGCCGGCTACTTCGGAACCGCCTCGCTGTTCACCAACCGCATGTTTGTGGCCTTCATTTTCTGGGCTTTGTTTGCCTACAGCAGCTTCGTGATCCCTTTCATCCACCTCCCGGAAATCGTCAACCTCTACAACCTGTCGGAGCAGAACGACGCCTTCCCGCTCACGTCCATCATTGCCATCTTGCACATCTTCGGGAAGGTGATCCTGGGCATCGTGGCCGACCTGCCGTGCATCAGCGTCTGGAACGTCTTCCTGGTGGCCAACTTCTCCCTCGTCATCAGCATCTTCATCCTGCCGCTGATTCACAGCTACACCGGCCTGGCGGCCATCTGCGCTCTCATCGGCTTCTCCAGCGGCTATTTCTCCTTGATGCCCGTAGTGACTGAAGACTTGGTTGGAATCGAACACCTGGCGAATGCCTACGGCATCATCATTTGTGCCAATGGCATCTCAGCGTTGCTGGGACCACCTTTTGCAGGTAAATGGGGTCAAAGTCTTAAGAACAGGGAGTTGTGAAGGGTTCCGGCCCTTTCCCTATGCTGGTTGCATCATAGTGGCGCGCTGGTGGGGCTGGTCCATATGGAGTTGCACTTGCAACCTAAAAGTGATACCTCTCTGGCAGTTTAGATCCTGGTTCTGCAGAAGAAAGATGAGCAATCTCCTCTCTTACCTGTAGCCTTCAAAAGCCCCCTGGAGGGTCAGCTATGAGTCAGCTCCAACTCAAAGCTTTGAGGGTTTTTTTGGCTTTTTTTTAAAGCACTGTCTCATGGACACATAAAGGCTGCCGTAGCTCCAGCAATTGCACCCTATTTGTAGCAACAAGGAGGAAGGAGTAAAGGCTCAGTCCCGGATGTCTCTGCCTACATTTGATTGGCAAGAACAGTATCACACAGCAAGTCTGAACTACAAGGGGACTATTTTGTTCTCTAGCCTCTTTCATTCTTCTAGGTCATATAGCTCTGGTCTGTCCATTTGCTGTACAGAGGTAACTTGTGGTTACTGTGATTCTAAACACTGTGACACTGATATGTCAGATGTGCTAATGGTTACCCATGGTGGACAGTGTTTGGTGAAGCTCCCTGATTAAAACAAGCTTGGGAGCAGGAGTGGCATCCACTTCCAAAATGGCTTGTCTCCAGAAACTCTGTTAACTTGGAGAAAGGATGAAAGTTATACAAGTGTTCAGGCCTTTCGTTCATATGTGGCTATGAGTCGTCTACAACTCAATGACCCTTAACAACAACAGCCTCTAGTAGAAGAAAAAGGAGAAAAGAATAGGGTTGGAGATTCTATCCACCAACAAACTCTACCTGCTGGAAATGTTAAATATTCTGTGAAGTGGGGACAGTACCACAGCAGTAACATCGCTTCATTCGCCCTCTGGCCCTTCGGATGTACAGTGTGGAAATGGAACCTATTGTTGATGGTTCAGTAGCAGCATCACCACACAGTTGGGAGATGCTTCCTAAGTAACACGTGATCCAGGTCAGTTAAAGCGCTGAAGTTTGCCAGCTGGGTTCCCAGTTCCCAGGGTGATGTCCTCATCCTTCTGTCCATCAGCGAATGCTCTTTCTCGAATGAATGTGCAACAAATGATGGCTAGAGGAAAGCGAACTGTACCCTACACTCAAGGCTTCAGGTCTCATCTCTGCCTGCTGCCAAGTTCTTCCCTAGTGGTGGATTCTGCAGCCAAATTGGATCCAAGTGTAGTAAAAACCACTGTATCAGTGGTTGGGAACCTTCTGTGAATGAAGATGAAACGCTGCTCAGGGATTCTAAAACCAGTACCCAAATGTGCTGCTTGGGCCAACAACTTGAAGGGACATTTCCTCCCTTGTGAGTTTCTATTACTTCTACTAAACTAATTTACCAAGCTAAGTAGTAGACTGGTGTGCCAGGGGAGGAATGAATGAGAGGAGGGATGGTAGATGGCGTTTATTGGCTAATGGCATAATGTTTACTTTCTAGACCAAAGAGTCTACATTGCAGTGAGATGCATTCAGCTCATTGCTGTCAAGTCAAAACTGAGTCGTAGTTGACCCTCTACTGTGGGCGCAAAGCTGTAAATGACACGGGAGGAGATTGGCAGCCCCCTCAGAGCAGATGGTGGAGTCCAGCCACAAGAGCTGTGGGCGTTGGGTTACCAGTGCTACTCTGTGTGGACCACGCAGGCCGAGCTTGTGTGTGTATATGTGTGTGTGAATGAACACCCACGGCTATCAAATTAATTCCAACTACAGTGACTCTACGGACTCTGGTGGCCTAGTGACAAGAAGCTGTGCTGCAGTCCTGAAGGCTTGCAGTTCGAAGCCATCAGCTGCTCCGCAGAAGGATGGGCATTCTCCTCTCATGTGATTAACAGCTTCTGAAAATCTGTCAGAGGGTCAGATCTGGATCATTTCCTATTCAATGGTACAGAGCAACCAAATACGGCGACTCTGCAGGACAGAGCAGGCCTGCCCCATAGCGTTTCCAGGGCTTCACCCCAGGACGGTGAAACGTTGCCTCGCCTCCTTCGGGTATGTTGTCAGGAGGGGGTCTGTTCTTGGAGAATACCATCGTGCTCGAAAAGGTGGAGGGTCAGTGTAAGAGAGGAAGACCTTCATCTGGGTGAACTGACACGCTGGTTGTAACAACGGGCTCAGGTGTGCCAGAGATGGTGAGGATGGCACAGCATAGGGCAGGGTTCCTGTCTGCTGTCATAGGGTGGCTGTGCATCTCAGCTGACTTGACAACAAAACAGCATCCGCTGGGGCAGTTCTGCCCTCCATGTGGGGTTGCTATGAGGGGAAGCTCCCCTTGTCGCTGTGGTTAGGAGCTGTGAGTTGGTTTCTGCTGTGAGTGGCTCTGTGAATGACAGACCCTGCCCGGCCCTGCACCATCCTCAGAGCGCTGTGGTGCTTGAGTGTATCCTGTGGTGCTTGTGGCGCCTGTCAGCCCAGCTCATCGGGGGACTTCCTCCTCACTGACCCAAAGCACCATGACCTTCTGCAGGGACTGGCCACTCCTGATAAAATGTCCACAGTCTGTGAGACAAAGACTGCATTCCTTCCAAGACAAATTCCTTTGTTCTCTTGACAATCCATGGTCTATTCATTTCTCTTTTCATCCACATCATAACTCAAAGGCATCTCTTCTTCTTTAGCCTTCTCCATCCACTGTCCGGCTTTCACATGTATATGGTATTAGGTGCCGTGGGGTTGGGTACGACCCTTAGTGACCCTATGAACAACAGATCGGAACCCATCCTATCCTGGTCCATCCTCGTCTCTGACACGCTCTAGCCCATTTTGACAGTTGCTGTACAGTAGCAGTTCATCTCCTTGAGGGCCTTCCTATCTTTCATTGACCCTCCACCTTTCCAAGAATAATGTCCCTTTCTAAGGAATATTCTCTCCTAACATTCCCAATGTCTGTGAGACAAGGTTTCACCATCTCTGCCTCCAAGGAACCCTCTGACTGCACTTTTTTCAGGACATATCCACTAGTTCTTTTGGCAGTCCATGGGATGGGTATTCAGTACTCTTCTCCAACACTAGAATTCAAAAAGCATCAATTCTTCTTCCGTCATCCTTATTCATTGCCCAGCTCTCAGATACAGAGCAAGTGATTGGAAAGACTATGGTCTGAATCAGGGGTACCTTAGTCTTTAAACTGACATCATTGCTCCGTAGCACATGTGTATGAGGGAATTGAAAATAGCATGAATTGGACCAGGCACACCTTTACAATGACATCCTTGTTCTGCAGCCCTTTGGAGAGTTCATTAGCAGCAGATTTGTGCCCAGACACTCATCTAGAATTTGGCATCTGTAACCCACCCAGCAATGCTGTAGAAGAAAGTCGTGATGTTCTGATTGGATAAAGATGGCAGCCAAGAAAACCCTAGGGAACATCTGTGCTTGTAACACGGGGTCTCCAGGAGTCAGATCAGCTCAGTGACAACTAACAGCAGCAACAGTTGGGATTCCACTTGGTGCAACCCCAATATAAGAACTGACAGGTGGTGTACCTCTAACCGCAAACTATAGGACAGTCAGGCACGCTGGTCTCCTGCCTCTTTTCTGGCCCCAGCTGAGGCCTATGATGGTGCAGCAGGAGGTGAGCATTTGGCAGGGACAGTGGGTCAGCTGGATTTTTGGTGCTGGTGCTAGTGCTGGGCACAAGGCCCAAGGGCCACTAGGCATAGAGTGGTGACTCACCTGTCCTCCTTGTTGCCTATAGAGGTCTGCAAGGGCTCCTCAAGTGTGTCAGAGACGATGAGGATGGCACAGGGTAGGACAGGGTTCAAGTCTGCTGTTCACAGAGTTGCTATCAGTCAGACTCTACACCATCTAACAACATCACATGGTACAAGCAGTTAACATGCTTGGCTGCAAAACAAAAGTTTAGAGGTTCGAATCTACCCAGATTTGTGTTGGAAAAAAGGTCTGGCATCAGGATTGGTGGAAGACTCATCAACCTGCGTTATGCAGGTGACACAACCCTGCTTGCTGAAACAGGAGGACCTGAAGTGCTTGCTGCAGAAGGTCAAGGACTGTAGCCTCCTAAATGGATTGATGCTCAACATTAAGAAAACAAAGGTTCTCACCACTGGGCCAATTGGCAGCATCAGTATGGATG